TTGAGAAAAGGCCATCAGATCTGGCAATCAGGAAAGATCACTGGTAATTTTGGAGAGCCATTTCAGTGGAACGATATGGTCAGAAGTCATTGTAAGGGATTAAGAAGAGAGTGAGAGGAGAGAAAGTGGAGGCATCTAATGTATACAGAGTTCTCTAGGAGTTTAGTCACAAAGGACAGAAGAGATATAGGATGATAATGGGGATGGGCATGTTTATAGGTGGTAGTCAAGGATCTACTAGATAAGGACAGATTGAAGATAAGTAACAGAGTAGGGATGACAGAGGGGCCTGGCTGGAATGAGATCACTTGTGCAGGTAGAGGGGTTTGCCTTGTCAAGAAATAGAACCACCTCTTTTTGTGAGACAGGAAGAAGGAGGAGATAGTAGAAGAAAGCATGTGAATGATTTGAGAAGAAGGGGGGAGGGGGAATTCTTGGAGAATGTCCTCAAATTTTTTTCTTTTTCTTTTTTTTTTTTAGGCAATTGGGGTAAAGTGACTTGCCCAGAGTCACATAGCTAATAAGTGTCAAGTGTTTGGTCTGAGGCCAGATTTGAACTCAGGTTCTCTTGACTTCAGGGCCAGTGCTCTATCCACTGTGCCACCTAGCTGCCCCCTCAAATTTTTTTCTATAACATATGAAGCATGGTTCTCAGCTAAAAGCTAGAGGGAGCCATAGGAAATCTGAGGAAGGATGAAAAGGTTTAGAAGAGTGGGATAGTGAGTCGGTAAGAGAGGTATAGAAGGATTGCCTAGCAGGAACAACGGCCCAGTTGAGGTTGTATAACAAATTTGTAGTGGATCCAAGCAGAATGGCTGCATGATTTTCTTCACCTTCATTTGGTTGCATTTGTGTAGGAGTGAAAACAGTGGATGATGGGAGTGACTTAAGGATGAAGCGTGGCAGGATGCAATAGAAGATATAATAATGGAGCCAGGGACTCAAGAGAAGAGAACAGTGTAGAACTGAACTGGTTCCTAAAGATACGAAGATGGGGAAAAGGGAAGAAAGTGGTTATTAGTGCAGAGGTGATAGCCTGGAACAGAACTGAGGGGTCAAAGGACTGGAGGTCACAGTGTGGACAAAGATAAGGTTTTGGTGAGGGAAGGCAGAGGGAGAGGTGGAAAATGAGTAGATTTCAGAATTCTTTAACATAAGTGTTTAACATTTTGTAATGACAGAATCAAGATTATGATCATCCTTGTGTGTGGTTGACATGGGATAGAGGAAATGAGTGGGTTGAAGAACTGAGTGGTTAGGGTGTGTGAGGGAAAATCAATATATATGTTGAAGTCCCCTAGTATGACAGGAGTTGAGGACAGGAGCAATACTTATTTGCTTGAAAAATATGAGATACTGAACTTGGTGAGATAGGAGGAAGAGTGACCTAGAGTCCTGGATTCTGAATTCTGCACAGGTACCAGAATTTGGATTGGATGGTAGACATTGATTGCATGCAAGGAGAGGTTTCTGAGCAATGCAGGTAGGGGAATAATCTGGAAGTGTTAATGGGAAGAAGCAAGGAGTATTTAAATTCCCTTGCTTCAACTTGTGAACTGAGGCGAATTAGTGAGGGTATAGAAAATACTGGAAAGGGTGGACAGGGAGTCTGTGTCACCGGGGGAGCTAGGTCTCAGTTATTGCTAGAAGATGGAAGGAGTGGGAGATGAAGGCAAGTTTGTTGCCTGTGGAACAGGCCTTCCAGATGGCGCGGTGAAATGCATCAGTAGTGCTCTGTTGGGACTTTGGCTTAGCAGAATGCCTGGCACATAGTAGGTGCTTAAATATTTATGAACTGGTTTATTGATTGGCTAATTTTGGGGTGGGAAGGTTGTGGGGGGATGGGAATAAGGAATCAGTGGTGGATAATGAAGAATGGGGTTTGGATGATGAGCTCCAGGAGTTCAGAATCACAGGAAAGTATAGGGCAGGGGTGGGGAATTTGCGGCCTCCAGGCCACATGTGGCCTTCTAGGTTCTTGGGTTCGGCCTTTTCACTGAGTCCAAGTTTTACAGAACAAATCCTTTTATTAAGGGGATTTGTCTGTGAAGTTTGGATTCAGTCAAAGGGCTGCACTTAAGGACCTAGAGGGCCACAAGTGGCCTGAAGGCCCCAGGTTCCACTATCCCAGGTATAAGGTATTACCAGGTGTGGGTATGTTAATCGTTGAGTGGAAAGTGCCACTCCTTATACCGGAAGAGGCTGGAGATCATTCAGGAGACAAGCTCAGTATTAGATAGTAGGCACATGCTCAAAGGAGAGGCCTCATTTAATTTCTCTTCCCTCTGAAGGCTGGAGATTGGGCACAAGACAAGAGATGGAAATCCCACTTCTCACCCACTTTCTTCTTTCTCTTTCTGAAGACAACAAAAGCAACTACAAAGTCCTCAGATAATGAAGAACCAGGAAGGGGAGATATAACAGGACTGTCCCCAAGAGAGTGGAGCCAGAGTCAACCATGCTACAATAGGAAGGAGCCAAGTTATACAGAACTTTAAATGCCAGAGGTTAATAGGGAATAACTGGCACTTGCCGAGTGGAGGTCAGGGGAGGGACAGGTAACATCTATGTTCAGACTTATTACACTTGAGGAAAATCCCTTGCTATCTGTGTAGAGAATGTATTGGAGTGGGAATGAAGCAATGAATCCAATTAGAAGGCAATTTCAATAGTCTAGATGAGAGGTGTTTGGACCATGAATATTGACTGTGAATGGAGAAAAGAGACTGCGTATGAGAGGTGTTTGCCCTTATGCTGTTTATTATTTTTATCAATGATTTGGATAAAGTTATAGACAGTATGCCCATTGAATTTAGGGATTACACAAAGCTGGGAGGGATACCTAACACATTAGAAGACAGTCAGGCTCTAAAAGGATCTTTGATAGGCTAGATAGAACAATGTACTAAATCTAATAATATGAAATTCAATAGGGATAAATGTAAAGTCTTACACTTGAGTACAAATGGTCAAGTTCACAAGTACAAGATGGGGTTAGACATGGTTAAATAGCAGTTGTTCTGATAAAGATCTCTGAGTTTTAGTGGATGCAAGCTCAATACGAGTCAGCAGTGTGAGGTGGCAGCCCATAAAGCTAATGTAATATTTGGACTGGAGTGAGGGACAAAATTTAATTTTCAGGAATAGGGAGGTGATAGTCCAAATGTACTCTGCCCTCATCTGATCTCATCTGTAGTATCTCATTCAGTTATGGGCACCGAATTTGAAGAAGGAGATTGATAAACTGGAAAGTGTTCAATCACGGAAACTAAGTGAAGGATCTTGAGTTCATGACATATAATAATGGCTAGCATTTATATAGCTCCTACTATGCATCAGGCATCTTATAAATATTATCTCATTTGATCTTTATAACAACCCCGGGGGAGTAGAAGCTATTATTATTCTCATTTTACAGATGAGTTAGCCGAGACAAACAGAGGTTAAGTAACTTGCCCAGGGCCAAACTACTAGTAAATGTCTGAGGACAGATTTGAACTCAGGTTTTCCTATCTCCAGACCCAGCCCTCTATACACTGTGCCACTTAGCTGAAGATCAATTACAGGAACTGAGCATGTTTAGTATGGAGAAAAGACATAGGGGGACCATGATGGCTGTTTTTAATATTTGAAAGTCTGTCATGTTAAGGAGAGATTAGACTTGTCCCATTTAGCATTAGAGAGTAGAACCAGAAGCAATGAGCAGGAGTTAATTTATTTAGTTATTTTAAGTTGTTAAGCAAAGGGGCCAATTTAGGTTTGAAGCCAGGAAAAGCTGGAGCAGTCTGAAAGGAAGGGGCTGTCTCAAGAGCTGGTGGGTTTCCTCTCTTTGGAAAACGACCTGTCTTTGGAGGATGACCTCTCTTTGGATGACCTCTGCTATTAATTAAATTTTTTTTTGGTGGGGATTCCTTTTCATTTAGGATTAGGTGGCCACTGAAGTCTAAAATTAGAAATTCTCAAATTCTGTGATTCTGTGAGTAGGGCAGTTCTGTGAAAGTATAGAATTATTTTCTGATGGTAAAGATTCATGAAGGAGTTAGAATTTGAGTCAGGATTGAAGGACAAATAGGAGTTGGATCCATGCAGAGTAGTACAGAGGACATTTCAGATCAGGGTATGCTATGAACAAAGGTACCAATATTGAAGAGTGTAAATATATTTAAAGGACAGTGATTTTGGAAAGACTAATTTGGTTAAAAGGGTACAATATGTAAGTAGTGAGAGTGACAGTTTAAATAGTACGTTAGGACCATATGGTTTGACCTTGAAGGTCAAGTTAAGGAGATGGATCATAGGCTTGGTATCTCTCAGCAGCAGAAAGAACAAGCAACAGCAACTCTGGCACCAGAACCTTCAGGAGGAATATTTGGACTCTTCTCCACTCATCCTTGCTTGGTTCTGGGAGTAGACACACCATCAACATTAGACCCTCCCTGAAGTGGTTTGAGGAAGGAAGCTTTGATCTAAGAAGTTTCTCATTTGAAAAGTTCTTTGGTGGTCTAGTGGTAAGACTTGGGTGCTTTCTCCCCTTTGGTTAGGTCTTCTGTCAAAGCATTTTGAAATTTCTATTTTTCATATATATATGGCAGATTATTTTTAGGCAGATGCTTTTAAGGACTGAAATGGTAGAGAGGACTGTGCTCATAGGTGGACATTCCTTTTTAAAGAACAGGATTAACTGGAAGAGACTTTGGAGACAATCTGGTCCAACCCCCTCATTTAGATGAGGAAATTGATGCCTAGAGGGATTTAATGTGCGATTTGCCAAAAATCATACAGGTAGTAAGTGAAATAATTTGGTTCTAGGTGCTACCATAATGTTAATGGGGTGACATCAAACTACCAAAGGTTTACTTTATAAAACCTGACAAAATAAAAGAATTGGTTTTAAGGGACAAAAGGCAAGAATTTTAAGGGAGATAATTAAGGGAGTAGCTAAGGGGCCTAGCATTACCAGATAAGAAACTATATTATGAAACAATGATATGTAGACAGTAGGTGATCAATATATTTACTGAGTTAATTACAAATAGATTGTCTCCTTTCTGTTTCAGTTAAATTCTGCTTGTTCAAATGGGGCTCCCATGTCTCACAGCAGAAATTGCAGGCTCTCGGGTTCGGTATTTTCCTAAATCTTAGGGTAGAAAGTGGCAGATACAAAGGAAAAAAAAAGAAAAATTACGAATCATAAAGAAAAAAGTTAATGAAAAAAATTAAACATCGGAAACAAAATAAATCTAGTTGAAATACACGTTCCATTTCGATTCTTGAATAAGGTCCTTTAGGAAGCCAACTCACCGAGTGTCAGGATGGCCGAGTGGTCTAAGGCGCCAGACTCAAGGTTCTCCTTCCCTAGCGGAGTGTTCTGGTCTCCGTATGGAGGCGTGGGTTCAAATCCCACTTCTGACACAATTTTTCCCCCCCACCTCACGACTTCTACAATGAATTGTAAATATCAAATACAAAGTTGTTTTGTTTTTTTAAATTAAAAGCCATAATCAACAAGAGGAACCTGCCTTTTGCGTCTCTCCGGGGAGCGTGGGTCTCGATAAGCCTGGCCTTTGGCCTGCTCGTGTTTCCGCCGTCGCTCCCCTCGGGCTCTCACAACATGAACCCCCCACCCCCAGGCCCCCATTTCCTCGTCCCTTTTTCCTGCGCTCTCAGTCGGGGCTGGACCGGACGCAGAGCAGAGAGAAACGGCCGCGAGGGGGGTGTCGCCTCCGTGCCCGGGAACGGGCGGAAGCGAGGGACGAGAGCCGCGGGAGCGGAGGGGGCGGAGGCTCGCTCCCCCAGCCGCGGCCGGGTGAAGTCCGACCCTTCGCACGCAGCGGCCACGGGCGGCTCGCGTCTGTGGAGGGCCTCCTTAATGTCGTGCCTCCCGTTAGATTGTCCGATTTATCCGGCACATACCGCGTGTGTACGTTGTGGTTTGCACGGTGTCTCTCCATCCCCCCACCCCCGACCCCCGACCCCTGACCCTTACAGTGGGAGCTCCTGGAAGGCAGGGGCTCTGTCCAGCTCTTGGCCCGGTGCTCGCCACACAGGCGGGCAGTAACAGCTGGCTGACTTTTTGCCTCGGCTTTACGGTTACAGAGCAGCGTGCGGTGCGGTGGAAAGAACAGTGACTTGGAAATTGGAGGGGCCTCTGTTTCTTCCTCTGTGAAAACGCGGGGATTGGATTCAGGGATGGGGAACCTGCGGCCTCAAGGCCACATGTGGCCCTCGGGGTCCTCAAGTGCGGCCCAATCCAGGCCACATGTGGCCTTGAGGCCGCAGGTTCCCCACCCCTCCCTTCCAGCTCTAAAATTATGATCTCTCCCCCCATCCCCAATAACTTCCCCATTCTATAGATGAGGAAACTGAGACGCAGAGCAGTTAGGTTAGTTGCCCAAAGTCACGAAGTCAACTGATGGGGCCGACTTTTGGATACCAATCTAGCATGCTGTGCTCTCTGCCACTGAGCAAAATCTGAGTGAGACCAGGTGTTATGGAAAGGGCAAATAGCAAACTACAGAAGTGTGATCTAAAGCCAAAAAAGTTAGACATTCAAGCCCTTCACATTGTGGAGGGACAAACTAAGCAGTTTGGACTTTATTCATTTGGCAGTGGGGAGCCATTGATAGTTTTTCAACAGTGGACTGCTGATCAGAGTGCTACTTTAGAATGATTAACCTGGAAGTGATATGAAGGATGGATTCCAGTAAGTAGAAATTAGAGGGAGCAGAGGCTATTTTAATAAACTGGGAGGCCTGAGCTAGAGTGATAGATATGGAAATGGAAAAGAAAATTGGTTATGAAAAATATTTTTGAGGTTGAAGTGATAAAGCTTGGCAATTGATGAGATGTGGTAGGTGAGAATTATAGGTAGTAGGAAATTAGAAAAATGGTGGTTCCATTAACAGAAACAGGGAAATCAGGAGGCGTATAACTAGGGGAAAAGATAAGTTCAATTTTGAAAATGTTGAGTTTTAAGTGCTAATAGAAATGTTAATCAGGCAAATGGAAATGCTAGTCAGAAACTCAACAGAAAAATTGGGGATGGAGGTTTGGGGACCATTTTCTTAGAGGTAATAAATGAAAACAGTGGAAATACTGTAAATGAGATTGCCTAGGGAGAATGTAAAGAGAAAAGAGAGAAGGACTGAGGTTAGAGCCTTGTGTTGTGGAGTTGCAATACATACGAAGTCAGGTTAGATATATAAATCTGGGAGTTAACTATATGGAGATGATAGATCATGGAAGCTGATGAGACTGCCAAGAAACAAAGTAGAGAGGGAAGATGAGAGATAGAGAGGACAGAGCCCTGGGATACATACATACATGCATACATACATACATACATAGCAGGCAAGACATGGACAATTTATCAAAAGATAATGGAAAATGAAAGGTAAAGTAGGAAGAAAACCATAACAGCATAGTTACAAAAAACTCAGAGAATATTCAGAATGGAAAATGAGAAGGAGGGAAGAGGGTTGTGTGTATGTCAATAGTACCAAATGCTACAGAGATTATAAAAGATAAAGATTAGGAAAATTACATTGGACTTAGCAAATTTAATCAGTCTGTCAATAGGCATTAATTAAGGGCTTACTGTGCTAACCATTGGAGATGGTAAGAAAGGAAATTTAGGGAGATAGTCTTTGGTTTTGGTTTTTGTTTTTTCCTGGCTAAAATACAGTACCAAAGCAACATGACTTTGCTGCTGACAGGTAATTATCTATAACAGATGGGTTTGATTTCAATCCAGACCTAGTGGTAAAAAAGAAAAAAAAAACTGAATCCTAACCCAGAGTCACACAGACTAGCTTTTGTTAGCTGGGTGTGTTGGCTATCACTAAAGAGAAGTCAATCTGCTCTTAACAAGAAGAGGTTCTAGATACCTACACTTACAGATTGGAGCTGAAATAACCTAAAAATGGTCCTGAAGAGATGAAATCCAGCAAAGATTGTCACCAAGTAACTAGCAGTATGCCCAATGGGGATACCATGTCTAATGGGAGCAAATCAAGTGAGGGCAGGAAGAAGATATTAGTAGTCTTGCAGCATAAAGATGTGTGAATTTTCCTTCTACGTGTGAATCTTAGGCACATATGTTCTCTAGTGTATGCATCCATGCATGATACCTATGTATACCCATTCTTCACACTAATGGTATGTACATTTGTGGTAGAATATGCTCTGGATTTATAGCAGAAATTTCTCATTGTAATTTTTCTTACTATACTATTATAATACTATATTAAATTACTATATTATTGATTATTATACAACAATATTATATTATACCATACTACCAATATTAAGTAGCATTTATTATTGCTTTTAAGGTTTCAAAGAGCCTTACAAATATCTCATTTTATATTCACAATAACCCTTGGAGGTAGATGCTATTATTATCTTCATTTTACAAATGAGGAAACTTAGGTAGAGGTTAAATGACTTGCCCACTTTCTCATGTCAACTCAGGTCTTCTTGATTCCAGGTCACTGCCCCATCTAGCTGCCTCTAAAGGTATTTGATAACCTTTGCTTTGTAATAATGTCTTGGTTAACTAGAGAAAAAAAATTAAAGACTTCTCTGGAGGTACAGGGAATCATGATTTTGAGCAACAGCAACTATCCTGGGGTAGCTGTTCTGTAGGCCCCACAGGTGAGAAGAGGTACCCTAGGTATTTCACAATTACAAGATCATTGGTGAACTTCAAAGGAGCAGCTTTAGTTAAATAGTGGGGACAGGAGTCATTGCAAAAGTGAAGCAAGTTGGGGGTGAAGTGACTATAGAAAGCTTTTTCTAGGTGTCTGCCTGCGAAAAGGAAAGATACAGGATAACTGAAAGGAACTCAGGGTGAAATTTTCTAAGAACAGGGAGAACTAAGCAGCAGGAGAAGGAGAGATTGAAAATTAGAGAAAATTATGAAGAGAGAGGGGGTGGTCAAAGGGACAAATTGACAGAGGAGACAGAAGGGGATATGATTAGGGGCATAAACAGAGGGTAAGGAGAAAGGCCACCTAAACTACTGAAACTGGTGAGACTGGTGATATTGAGGTGATTCGAAGTGTGAAACTGGGAAAGAGAGGGAGCTCCCCCATGGTTCATCTTAATTTTTTCAAATAAGTATGAAGTGAAGTTCTCTCCTGAGAGGGAAGGAAGAAAAGTTGGTGTAAGTAGACTGAGAGAAGAAAAAGTACTGTATAGAATAGCCACTTTGAGATGGTAATATTTTAAATGCTGTAAACTGTAGTGTCTAGAATTTACTTCTGGTTAAAAGGATTTAACAGATTAGAGGGGTAGAGTATACCTGTGGTGGAAGATGCTTGAGCACTGACCCAAAAGGTGGGAGAAAGAATGACAGAGTTCACCTATGTCAACAAATCCAGAGGTTTAGACTGTAATTGTGAAATGCCCTCTTTTGAGTTGGCCAGTAGACTACCAGTCACTCCACATTCCATCCTTCCTTATTCTCTCTGTCCTCTTGTGCACTTTTTTTGTGTCCCCAGAGGGACTGATTAATGATACAATTAAATTGGGTTGCTTAGAATGACTCCAATTCATTAGGTTGCCTCCATCTCCCAAACCACTGTCTGCCTGTTCTTATTTATTATGTTTGTTTCTCCATCTCTCAGGACCTCAACAGGGAAAGAAAAGTTGCTGAACTATCAAGATGAGAGGCAGGATGACTATAGTGAGACCCCATATTAAGGGAAAGGTGTGAGAGTAGACAAGGCAGGCTTATAACTCCAAGAAAAAGACAGAAAGTCTCCTAGTTTTTAGAATGCATATTATGTTGTCTAATGAACAGATTTAAATTTGGTTACCGATTTATTGTGTTAATTGTAAATGTGGTTTATTGGTTAATAAATGCTAATATTAGGTCAATTAGTTCCCTTAGAATACATATTTTGTACCAGCTGACCTTTAAATATGATTAACAAACTACAATGTGATGTCTTTATTAAAAGACTAGTTACTGGGCTAATTACCTCAGTTGGTCACAACATAGAACTTCTTAGAGCAAGGTTTGGGGTTTGATCTCCACCTGATTTTTCTCTGTTCTTTATTCCTTAGCTGAAGATATTATCCAGGCATCTATTTCACAAATGTGCATCATTGTGTCAAAGGTGAGACAAATTGTAGGCAGGTCTCTTCAACCCATCGCCATGATTAGGAAATCAGCCAAGAACATGTAGACAGGTCAGGAACGTCCTTTAATATTTTCAGAAGCACATTTGTAGACATCATTTCATTTGATCATCATCATCATTGTTGTTTGTCCTTCATTCTCTAAGGGGACCATGACATCAGGGTGGTGATGCCATGACATGCAGATGAATTGGATTTAAGTGAGCATCATTATAATTCTGTGGGGTTGGTACCAACCAATATGTATTATTATCTCCATTTTACAGATGAGAAAAGTAAGGAAATTTTGAGGAAGTTAAGTGACTTGCCTCTGGTCAAATAGCTAACATGTGCCAGAGGCAAGATGTAAATCAGGGTCTTTCTTGATTCCAAGTCAAGGTTCCTTTCACTACAATACACTATACTATCTCATCAATGTAAAGTGTTTTTTCACTGGTTACAACTCACTCTTAGGCATAGTCTCCTTCTTGGCTTCCTTGTCCTGTTTCAATAATTCCACAGCTTCTTGAATACTCTGGGCTGCCCGGAGTCCAGATTTAATGGTTGTATCAATCCAACCATGAGGGAGGGTGGTGTGCTCTCCTGCAAAGTATATCCTCCCTTCAGGCTTGAAGAGTTCCTGGAAATAGTCTACATATTGGTAGGGAGTAAAGAAGGCAAAGCCGCCCATGGAGTACGGATCTTGGTTCCAACGCTTGACCACAGAATAGGGGCAAAAGGCTTGAAGCTCTTCCTTGGGGCGATTATGGATAGCAGCCAAATCCTCTAACACTACATCTACTACCCGCTTTTGATCCATGGCAGCAAAGAAGGTAGAGTCATCATCCAGGGTGTAGGAGGCCAAGATGACACCAGTTCCTTTGGGAAAGTCATGATTGGGGTAGTAGATAAATTGAGAGGGACGGTCTGTTATGGACTTCCCACCATAAATGCCATCCTGTTCCCAGAAGCGCTTGGTGCAGGCCAGGATCACCTTGGTGGCACTGTTGTAGTGGATTGAGCGCAGGGCATCTTCTTTGCCTGGAGATAGAGGTGGGTGGAGGTGGAGGAGCCGGGCAGCCTTAGCTGTTGTGGCCACAATGGCATAGTTGGCAGTGAGGCAGGCATGAGGCTGAAGTGGGTCAGGTGTCTGATGGACAATGTGGACATAGTTTCCATCCCTTATTACCTGCTCTGCTTGTGAGTGGAGGTAGACAGTGCCAGGGATGAGGGAGTCATGTAAGGCCTTCGGGAGCTGGTCAAAGCCACCAGTAATTTCCTCAAACCTAAGAGGAGGAAACATGGTGAGATGGTTATGCAAAGGATGAGGCAGATATGGATTTAGTCTTCGACTAGGTACTCTGAGGGGGTCTTGCAATTGACAAGACAGTCCCTAGCAAATGGAAAAGTGGGGCAATTGTCCTGTACTTGTGTGTGTGTGTGTGTGTGTGTGTGTGTGTGTGTATTCATAGGTTCTGTGCTGCTTTGGTACCAGGTTAGCCTGCCAATTTATGGTAACAAAGATCTGAGGTCCTCATACATATACTTCCAACTAGTTAGGGATCACTACCTTGTTCTGTTTCCTTTCTACACAACTTCTCAGTAGATACACATGGCTTATTTTTAAAATGTTGATATAAAACTGATTTTATTCAGTATTTTATTCTGATAATTGGGGATATTACAAAAGTGGGATTGGGAATCACTAACTCAAGGGTACCTTCCTCCTCCAGAAGCCCTGTAGCAGGATTAGAAGAGAGATGAAACAGACTGAGCTCCTTAACACTCTATTGAGCAGATCAGATTAGAAGGCAAGGTACAATGCTTTCCATTTCTTTGGGGCCCACCATCTGATTTATTTTAGATTTTGTGGATTAGTTGTGGATTAGAGAATGTGGATTAGTTGCTAGATTACCACACATGTGACATGCATCAGTCTTTTTTACTAGATCATAAACTTTGATGCAATTAGAAATTGCAGACAAGAATTTTAATCAATAGAATAACAATTACAAATTCTTAGACATTTTGAATTGTAAAGGACCTTGGATATTAGCTTACCACACAGTGGAGGATTCTCCTTTATATGGTCTCAACAGGTTATTATCCAGATGTTGTTTGAATACTAACAATGACAGGGAGCTCACCAGATTGAAAGGAAACCCTTTCTATTTTTAAGAACAACCCTACTTATAAGAAAAGTCTTTTACTCAGTTGAAATTTGCCCCTCTGGTAATTTCCTAGTTTTCCTAGAGCATGAATTCATGAAAATAATTGACAAATGGTCATGATATTATTTTAAAGATCTAAATACTTAACCTGTCTTGATATGAAAATGACTTTATTACTAGGTGGTTAGCATCCTCATATGTCTCTATATAGCAATATCTTTTTTGGTCTTTCAAAGGATATAATGTTACTTGTAATTATAGTATGAATACAATTAAAAATTACATTTCCCTCCCTTTACACTGCATCAGTTTGCACATAAAGCTCTTCATGAGGTCCTAAGTCCTGCAGGTTGGCTACTCTTTTACTACTCTGTGGTCTGATGACATGAGGTTGTCAGCATTTTGGGTGCCAGTATGATCGACTGGGCTAAGACACCCAACATAAGGTTCTCCTTTTCCACATCTGGAAAACAAGGTAAAATAGGGAAAATATATCTGGGATCTGAGATATGAAGGCATGAAGTTAAATTTCATTTCTGCTGAAATTGAGTTTGTCTAGAACAGGGGTTCTTAACCTCTTTTCTGTACTGGAGTCCTTTTCAAAATGATGTTTTTAAATGCATAAAATAGCACACATAGGCCTACAAAGAAAAACTATATTAAACTATATTAAAATACATTTCTTAAAATATATTTTTAAGAGTTCACAGACTCCAGGTTAAGAACCCCTGATCTAGAAGCAGTGAGGTTTAGTAGAAAGAGCAATGGATCTGGAGTTTGGTGATGTTGGTTCCAATTCTACTTTTGCTATTTTTACCCATTCTGATAAATAGCAGACTTGAACAATTTACAGGATCTGTCTGGGCCTTACTTTCCTTATTTGTAAAAATGAAGCTATAACTAGATGATTTCTAAGATTCTGTTTAGGTCTTAATGCTTTTATCCTACCTGGTGTGCACTGGGAAGATTGTTTGGTCTTCAAGACCTGTTAATAGGAAGGAAAGTATAAAGCCAAGGGTGTTCTATGAATCATTCACAGAAGAATGGGTTATTTTCACCTTATTCTATTCACCCACCATGCAGGGTGGATGAAGAGTTTTGGTGAATAATTATGCTGATAGTCATGGATATGGATATGGATTATTATGGAACTGGAATTGTATTTACATTAGAAAGGTCTATCTCACCCAGTTTCCAATTTCTGGCAGTGTTACCAAGTGATTAATCTGTTATACCTTGGTAGCTGCCTTCCATGACATCTTTCTCAAAAATTAGTTTTTTACTCAAAACATCTAGAAAAAATGTTGTAGTGGAAAAGATAATTAGAGAACCAATAGACCTAGTTCTAGTCCCAGTTCCTTCACCAACTCTATATAACCTTGAGCAAATCACTCAATCTCTCTGGACCACTATTTTCTCATCTGTCAAATCAGTGTATTGGACTACATGGTTCTTTTCATCTCTAGCATTCCATGATTTTAATGACCCATTGTAGATGAATTGCTATGGAGTATTTTGGGTCCTGACTTTAGTCAGGTTATCTTAACTCCTTTTGAACTTGTTTTTATTTTTATAGTGTCCTAATACTACATTTTTCAAGCTTTAAGCACTGCTGCCCCTTAGGTTTACCATTCAGAGGAATACATACAGCTGGGCATGAAATGGAAAGAGAAGAAAGAATAGGCCTTGCCAGTTGTTTTCCAAAACAGACTTTGACATTTTAGGAATTTGTGACTTTGTGAGTGTTCATATTTCCCCTCACTAACATAGATCACAACAATATCTGTGGCTATATAATTCATTACATGGTGGCTAACCTTATGATCATGAGCCTCTGTGTACTTCTCTAGGCTGGTCCACTGACCACAGATGAACAGTCCTGAGACTCATACCCAAACACTTTTCAGCTTGGGATCCTCTGCCAGAGGTTCAGCTCTATTGGTATAGCCCTTTAGAAGCCACAATTTCATGCCAGGAGAGCAGGCATCAGAGCATGGTTAAAAACAAAAACAAAAACAGGAACAAAAACAAACATACTAAAATCTCCTCCAGCTTGCAATGTGTACATTAACACAACCTTTCCCCACTGCCAGGTAAGCCTTCTCCTTCTTCCTGTTTTCTCTCTCAGAGAGAGCAACATCTCCTTGCGGCAAACACAGCCAGAGTCCTTCCAAGATCATGGGATCATATAGAATGATAGATTCAGAATTAGAAGGAAATGTAGAGGTCATCTAATCCTCATTTTGCATTTGAGGAAACTGAAACCCAGAGAAATGAAGTGACTTGCCCAAGGTCACAAGGTAGCAAGTGGCAAAGCTAGGATTTGGACCTGGGCTCATGACTCCAAGTCCAGTGCTCTCCCCATTCCACTACACTGACTTCCATGCAGCATCCCAGGAAAAGTCTGGACAGAGTCACATTAGGTCCTTCTGCACAGGTACCATTTGATCTACTACCTAATGTAGTAATTGCTTGATAGATAGCTTCTAAACCTTGTTATTTTACCTAGTTTTGTGGCTGTCTACATTTAGGAGAATGAAAGGTCAGTTCTCCCATGCTTCTCCTGCTTCTCCTCCCTTTCCACTTCTCTAGCCCATCCTGTCCCAGACCTCACCTAGGATTTTGGAAGAAGAAAATAACTCCTCTTAAGGTCTCAGTGAAGGCTTCATAGTAACCAGCATCAGCATTCATGAGATCTCCAATCATCTGCACTGCACCCCGACTTAGATTTCCCACCTTAATCAGATATTCCTGCCATGGCAGAGTGGGGAGAAAAAGAAAATCAGAGGTTGAAAATCTTTGCTTTGTGAGAGATTATAATATCTACCTCTCTAATTCTAGGCAGGACACTCAAGGAGGAAAGGAGTCTGAGTTGGAAAGACACAGAATACATGTAGCATAGATTGATCCAGGTCAGGCCAGGACATTTCAGATGAGCAATGACTCCAGGGTCCCAAGGTCTCTTCACTCACACAGAAGAGAGGCAGGGTGATGGAGGATAAAAGGGTCTGAATTTAGAAAGGAGATCTGGAGTTGAATCCCAGCTCTGACACACTGTGTGGCTGGGATAGCTGTGCAGCAGGGGAGAAGTTATGTGACTTCTCAGAACCTGTCAAATGGAGATAAAAATACTTGTGCAACCTCCTTGACTGGGTTGTTTTAAGGGAAGAATTTTGTAAACCTTAAAGTGCTGTATATATGAGGTTTATTATGTTGAATTCTTGAGGTACAATCTCTATCCCACCTCAGTAAGGATTCGTGCTAGTCTGATAAATCTGATTAACTGTAATCTCTTCTCAATTTTTGTGGGTGTCAGGGGGAGGGTAGGAGGGCCAATGGGGCTAAGTAGCACCAAGACACTGACCTTAGTGGAGAAAGAATCATACTTTTCTAGTATTTGGCTGCAGTTGCTCTTTTTCAACTCTTCCACCACCTGGAGCAGAGAAGGGGAAGAGAAAAAATGTTGAGAAAGGGATTCTTTCTTTTCTCATGATTTACTCCCATCTTCTTTTTTGTTCATTTTCTCACACCCCCATTCCCATCAGTTCTTCCCTCAGCATTCATAGACTTGTTTTGCCAGTGTATTTGTTCTGTGTAGTCTGGTACTGGATGTGACATTAAGGCTTCATTTCCCACTGTCCTTGGGCTGGCTGCAGTATGGTAATATCATCAGGATTATGAGTGATAGGGAATACTCTACAAGGAAGGAGATATTAAAAGTTGGACTGTTGAGTGGCCACGTAAGTAGTCATGGGTAAAGGAAGTAGTGGGGCTACAGATGGAGAAAGAGAAAGAAGGGGAGCACATAGATCTATTAGCACATGAAGTTCCCAAACTCAGGAGCCATAACTGGACCCTGATTATACTAGAGTTCCTAGGCTTTATCAAATTCCCAAATTTGCCCTTATAAATTTTCCACCAAAATTCTAGGAGATAGAAGGCACTGCATCCTAAATATCTGCCTCTGGGACTGTTCATTCTGAATTGTGTAATTTTCCTGTTGTGACGTGGAATCAGGGAAATTAAAGGGGAATTAGGTAATAATTTCCCTAGAGGTATAAGAGATTGAATCCATTTGTGTATTACTAAAGAGAATACCCTCTTTTTTTAAACCAAATTTCCTTTACTTGCTATTTATTGCATTTCATGTCTTAATTAAACACATTGAATATTAGGTTTATGTGTCATATATGGTCTGACAATAATGTGGATTTTATGAGGACTCTTGGGCCATGAGTTGCATAAATAATTATACAGAGTATCAACAGTAAAGCCATGAGTAGATGGGTTATTAAGAGATGCTACATGTGCATTGTGTGTTTCCTGCTTCCCCATTAGATTGAAAGCTCCCCAGTGGTTATGGCTGTTTTCCACATCAGCCAGGAAGCTCCCTAAATTTAGGTAGGGACAGAAAACAATCTAAAAAAGGGGAAGGGCCTTTTCTCTCTCATGTTATAAATTCTCTGAGAGTGAGGCATTCTTGTATATCTAGTAAATAGGTTTAGGCATACTTTCCCCCTCCCATTGGTGGTGGGCTACTCCCCTCATGCACCCCATATTGTGGGGCCAACACTGATCTGTCCTAAGTTCTCCTGAGTCTTGCTACTGAACCCTTAGGATCTCCAGGACTTCTTTTTGCCCAGAAGCTGAAACCTCTTATATGTGCTATCTCTCTCAATTCCAGTATAAGTTCCCTGAAAGCAAGAATCCGCATTTTTTTTTAAAAAGATTTTATCTTTAATGCTTAGCACATAGTGGTTTTTTTTGGAGACTAGGTATCCCTATGTCACTCAGGCTTAAGTAAAGCAACCATTAACTGGCTGATCTCATTGTTTATCAGTACAGAAGTTTTGACCTATTGCCAGTTCACCCCTCTGTAAGCAGTCTGGTGGCCTCCCATTCCTTGAGACTTTGGATATTGAGGCCAGACACAGGATAGATACTCAATCAACTTTAGTCTTATAGCTCAGAACTTCCAAGCTCAACAGCCTCAACCTCCCAGAAGTAAGGATTACAGGTGTGTTCCATCATACCTGGCAGTAAATGTTTAAAAAAATTTTCTTTCATTTATTCACTCATCCATTCATTAATTCATATCTCTTCACTGTATCCATTGCTAAGTGTGACAGTGGACATACAGAATAAATGCTGAATAGGTTTGGACTCTCACCAGAAAGATATCCAGGGAGGGGGAAAAACTTGCACTGTTCAAACTTTCAGAAATAGCAATAGCCTGAGTTTGGGGATTTAGCGGCTAGGCCTCCTGGGGATTTGCCTAGTATGCTTAGGGTAAGTCCTACCTTGGTGGTCCCAGCTCTGTCCAAGACTCACCTTCCTCAAGGATTCATCAAACAATTTGTCGGCTGTTTTCCCCTTTTCGTCTGACCAGACAGGGTAGCCAAGGAGGCCAGGATTGGCTTGTACATCCCCAGTCCGTCGATGCATTCCATTGATGAGGACCCATGTTCGGTCATCATATCTGGAGAACTCATTCAGCTTCAATCCAAATTGACTGATGAGTTCATGAGAAAACCTGGTAGGAGCACAGGTTAGAGGAGTTCATGAAGAAAGGCAGAGATTCAGGAAAAAAGAAGAAAATTTATGCTATGCACCATAGCTTCTTTTGCTTATTATTCCTACCTCCAATTCACTTTTCATTTATTCATAGTAAGATAGGAATAGCTGGGGAAGAACTGGCTACTTGACAGTCACCCTATTTAATTTTATTTATTTAGTATACTGTGTGTATTACTGTGATTATGTTTTATGTATTTGAGTTTTTTGCACTTTAAATAGAAAAATTCAGTTTTCTTTAGAGGAATGATTGTGTGTGTGTGTGTGTGTGTGTGTGTGTGTGTGTGTGTGTTGGAGACAATTTGGTTCGGAGAAGTATTTTTCAGTTTTCCTTTTTCAGGACATCAAATGTCCTTACTTGGAGGTTTTACCTTCCATTTCTCTGCTTCTATATAGAAGCTGTACTCTACCACCTTAGTCCACACAGATCAGGGTATATCTTCTGATAATTCTCTAGGAAGGCAGATTGTCCAGCCTCCATTTTCCTCATCCTAGAATCTATCATGTTATTAGAAAGGTCTTTCAGAGCTCTCATTCTTCCTTATTGCAAGCATTTCTTTTTTTTTTTTCTTATTCCTATCATCAGAGAACTGAATGATGACATCTTTTACTTTAGACTTTCCAAATTACATTTGTGCATTCACTGGAACTGACAATAGAATTTCAGAATTGTATGGATTGCATTTTAGAGTATTCATTCCATTCTCTCATTTTATAGATGAGGAAATTGAGGCTCAGAGGCAGGAAGTTTTGATTTGCCATGGTCATACTATGCATTAGGACAGATCCAGCATTTGAATACAGACCTCTTGGCTCTTGGTCTAGGGCTTTTTTTCAATATATCATGTAGTTGGTGAGCAATTGTTCAAATAAAGTAATATTTGTAAAGCATAGTGCCAAGTGTATAGTAGGTTCTTAATAACCAAGTCAGTGGTGAATATAAATAGCAGTTGTTTCTGTTTTGGTCAGAAACCCTGAGAGTCTTTCCCTCCCAGATAGATTTTTTTTTTTGACTAGGTAATAGAGACTCTTCTCTGCCTCATTTCTTACCTAGCCTTAATGACTGAATGGGCATTGCCTCAGTCAGATTGAAGCCTGTTAAAGACCTTAGCTTAAAAAGGCCAAAATCTCTCACTGCCTACAGGGCCATCTCCAGTGATCCTGATCTATATCTTGCAGCTGGATCCAGGTGACTTTGCACAGCTCTGCCTCGCGTAAATCCAATTCACTTGTATTTCATGGCATCACCTCCTTGAGGTCATGATCCTCTTTGAGAACAAAAGACAAACCTGTAGTCCAGGCCTTAAATCTTCTTTCCTAATTCTTTTTTCCTGTCAATATCCTTAAGCTGTCTTTTCTAGCTTCCTCTCCCATCCTACTCCAGGGCCTTATCCTTGTTATCTCAAGGATCTTCAATTCAACAAGGATTTATTAAGTGCCTCCTAGATACTAGGCACTAGGCTACTATATGCAGGGAATACAAAGACAAAAATGGCCCTACTCCCTGCCTTGAAGGAGTTTACATTCTACTGGGGGGAAACAGTATGTGCAGATTAGCAAATACAAAATATTTTGTTTGGACCTGTGATTTAATTGGTGTAGAGATTTCTTGGTCAGGAAACTACCTTTGTGAATACAGATCTGCAATAGTTCTCTGCAATTTACAGCTTTAAAGATGTGCCTGAGGCATTGAGGGGTAAAGCAGCTCGTTCACACACATGGCTAGTATGCTGTCAGAAATGGAACTTTAGTTCCATTCTTCCTCACCCCATGGCCACCTCTCTATCACCACACTCTACTATTTCTCCAAATGTGAAATAGACACAAAGTAAATAGAAAGTAATTTGTGCATGGGGGTGGAGGTGGGGGTGGGGAGAGAATACTAACAACTGTGTATGTACATAGTTACTTCCTGATTAGAATATGAATTCCTGGAGGACAGGTTTTGTTTTTGACTTTTCTTTGTGCCCTAGTGTTTGACACATAGTAAGTGCTTAATAAATTCTTGTTGACTGACTGACTAACACCTGGAGAAATTAAGAAATGCTCTTTGAAGGAAGTGGCACTTGAGCTGAGTCTTGAAGGGAACTAAGGATTCCAAGAAGGGAGGTGAGGAGGGACAGTATTACAGGCGTGCGGGACAGACTGTACAAAAGACTGAATGTTGTATGTAAAGAACAACAAATAAGTCAGTTTGACTGGAAAATAGAGTGAAGTGAGGGGGAGTAATGTATAATGAGCCTGAAGAGATAGGTTGGAGTAGATTATGAAGGCCTTTAAATGCCAAAAGAGGCATTTGTATTTTATCCTAAAGGTAATAGGGAGTCAGATCTGTGTTTTAGAATTATAAGTTTGGCAGCTGTGTAAAGGGTGAATTCGAGAGGGGAGACTGGGGATAGAATGGATGCAGAATTTCCATTTAGGAATCGATTACAATAATTGTTTACCTGTGGTTGGCAGGGATCCGCATGGCACCGAGTTCAGCATACCATTCTGCCCCGGGCACTCGATGAGTCTCAATTCTCCCACCTACTCGCCCAGAGGCCTCTAGCACAGTAACCTAGAAAGATATATTCTGCCCAGTCTTTGTGAAATCAGGTTTCCCCTTAAGCCCTATCCCCATACAAGTACCACACCTCTTAGATCTCATCCTGATCACACCTCTCCTCCCTTTTCCCAGATCCTAGTTACAGGCACTAGCTACATTCCAGCTTAGACCTCTCTCTCTCTCATTAAGTTTAGAATTAAAGACTCAGAGATCTAGCTATCCACCCAGTCCACTCTCCTTCATATTTTCTTGATTTCTTTGTTGTTGTTGGGACAGCTAGGTGGTGCAGTGGATAGAGTGGCATCTGAAGTCAGGAAGACTCATTTTCCTGACTTCAGATCTGGCCTCAAATATGTACTAGCCATGTGACCCTGGACACATAATCCTGTTTGCCTCAGTTTCCTCATCTGTAAAGTGAGTTAGAGAAGGAAATGGCAAACCACTCCAGTATCTTTGCTAAGAAAACCCCAAATGGGGTCACCAAGAGACAGACGTGACTGAAACGACTGAATAATGTTATTTCCCCCCACTGCTTTCCCTTTCTCATTCCTCTCTGCCTAAAATCTGAAGTTTTAGACCCAGAATTCTGGCATCTTTAGCTCTTGTACCTGGTGACCAGCATCCTGTAGGACTTTGGCAGCAGTAAGCCCTGCCATGCCAGCTCCAATCACTACCACACTCTTCTTCTCAGTGGGTGCTCCCAGGCCAACCCTCAGTAGTCTGAGCAGGTCTTCATATTGGGGGTCATCAAAGCATTTCGCCAGCTCACTATTAAAAGCCTAGGAGTGGGAGCTCAGCAGTGCTATACCCATAAGGAACAGTTTCACTAGGGATGATAGGAGAGAAAGACTAGGGTCAGGAGAATGGCTCTAACACTAGAGATGTCTGGGATTCCAGACATGTCACTAGATTAATGACACAACTATCAGAGAATCTCTTCTTCTTTCTCTGGGAGAACCCCAGAACTGGCAACAACTTTTAAAAATCATAGCTTACATTTATATAATGTTTTAAGCTCTACAAAATGCTTTCTTCAGAACAACCCTAGAAGAAAAGTAACTTAGCACTTAGTATAGTGATTGGCACATGGCAAGTGCTTAATAAATACTTTTTCATTTATTCATAATTATCTCCGTTTTCAGAGATGAGGAAAATGAAGCACAGAATAGCTAAGTGAATTCCCACAGTCACACAGCTAGGACTCCAGACTCCAGATCCATTACGGCCATTGAGCTCTTAAAGATAGATTGGAGGACTTGTAAAAGACTCATCTTTTTACTTTAGAGCAAGATTTTATTCCACTCCACTTTCCTTATTCATACATCAAATTCTTGCAAGATCTCATTCCACCTGTCTCTTCATCCCAATCCATATGAAGACCATCTTAACATCTAACCTCCATTTTTCCTTCCATAGATGATGTCTGTTTCCTTTTGACTATTCCTCTCTCTTTTAAAGAGGGATAAAGGAATAACCTTGTAATCCGGTTCTGTTAAGGAGATATTTCTAAGGATGGCAGGTGGGACAATTGTTCCAATCTTCCATTCTTTACTTTAGAGTAGGGGTTCATCATGCCACCCTTACTTTGATTTAGGGTTTGCCTAGATCTCTAAGAATGGCTTTGTTCAGGCTGCTAGGTCTTACTCTGATGCATGGTGTTTTTTTTATTTCATTCAGTCATTTAGCAAACATTTATTAAGAACAAGCTGCATGTAGGACACTGTGCTGAGTGCTAAGGATACATTAGGTTATACACATATCATATATATCAGGATATACACACACAATATACACACATACATTATCTAGAGGTTCCCAAAGAGGGTGATACCACCCCCTGGGGGGCACTGGAATGATCCAGGGGGGCAGTAGTAGCCTTGACTGCAATTGGGGGGCATTGAAGAAAAACAGGGGGGCAGTGGAAACATAAGGAAAGAAGAGAAGATAAGAACATTTTGAAAAACCATTTGTACATGTTTCATCTGTTGTGTAACGGAGTTAAAGTTGTAGTGATTACATTATTTTCCAAATAAACACACAAAATGCAAGTTATAACCTATCAGTGGTCAAGTCTGCCAACAGGTCTTAACCAGCAAATGTTGGTAAGTAAGCATGTTGTACATTGTTGGGAAGCCCAGCATGCATCAGCAGGAATATGTGCATGTAATGACTTGTTTATAATATGATACTGTACAGTTACATGACATAATATTGTGACTTCAAAATTTCAATGCAGAAAACCCCCCACAAATTTACAATAAATTATTAAATTTAAGATGCATAATTAAAAAAATATATATGTTTTATATGTTTTTTTGAAATGACACAAATTTAAAAAAAATTAGAGGGTTAAAGAAAGTAGATTTACGGGGGGGTGCTGAGTAATTTTATTTTGAAAAGGGGGTGGTAGGTCAAATAAGTTTGGGAACTTATAAACCCTACAACTATTTATAATAATTTTATAATCTATTTGGTGGGAGGAGGAGAAGGGAATGGAAGCATAATGTTCTGAAACAAACACTGAATTAAGAATCAAAATACTTGGATTTGAATCTTGGCTCTGCTACTACTACTACATGTGTGACCTTGGGCAGGTCATTTCCCGACACTGGCCGTCAGTTCTTCATCTACAAAATAAGGGAGTATTAGATATAAGGTCCCTTCCAGCTTTTAATCCTATGATCTTTTTTTGTTGTTATTGTTTTTATTTTATTCATTGATTAATGACCTGAAATGAAGTATTCTTGCCAACCCTTCTCTTCTCTAAGATCAGCCCTGACCCTTCTGACATATTCCCAGAATATTTCAGTTCTTTCTCCATCTCTGGGTACCTTTTTCTGAGTTCTTCTCCTACTTTTCCTCTGAAACTAGGAGGCCTAAGACTTCCTTCCTAATGCTCTCTTTTCCTCCACTGCATCCTGCAAAGCACATGTAAACATATACATGTACACACATGTATATATTCCTGCATACATGTAACATAGCAACACATATAGCATGGGAAATATGCTACTTTTTGGACTTATCTACAGTTCCCTCCTTTAAGGAGTAAGAAAAGAGGCTATATTCTTTCCTTTTCCTCCCCACTTAGAAAAATGGGATCTGGTTAGGTCTGAGTGTAATACAGAATTCCAACCCTTGAAAACTACTCTGACTTCTAATGATACTCCAATTAAATCTGCAATGCTGGATGCTTATGATTTTGAGCAATTCAAAGATCTTACTTATCACAATAATCCTCACAAGAAGGGAATTCTCAGTATATAATAGATAAACTTTCAGTTGTTTTTCTAGTAGTAGAGACAGGTTTACATTGAGCCATTCACATTCTCTCACCCAGTCTCTCTGCCAGGCATTGTGATTAAAAGTGAATCCTAGAGAACATATTTAAAATCATTTAGTTCAAGTTCTTAACTTGAATGAGGAAAGTAAAATATAGGGAGTTTAAGTTCCCAGTCATGTATCTAGTTAGTAGCAGGGCCAAGACCAAAGTTAATTGATCTGTAAACCTTCAATGTTGACTTCCTTAGCCCCATACTCTCTTCAACTAAACTAACCATCCACAGTCATAAATAACAGATTCTTATTCTTTCTTTAGCCAAGGAGACAGTTAATAAGAAAATAAGGCTAATTGTTTTTTAGTGGGATAAAAGAGAGAGCCTCATAACTTGTTTCTTTGAAGACAAGGATCCTTGATGATTGGCAGGTTGCTCTAATCTGCTAATGTTTGTATTTGGATTTAGAGATCATCCCATCTTCCCATTTTAGGGATTCCCTTTAGCACTGAAAGATAGAAATATGAAGAATGGGATATGTGTGTGAAATTGGCCTAATAAAACCCCAGAAAGCAGTAAGTACTGTACTGTACTGTACTATATACTGTACCTGGAAGACTGAGGGGCAAGAGGGCACCTCTCTTAAATGAGGGAAAGATACTGAACTAAGGAGATGAAGGGGAAAGAAGGAAGGGAAAGACAGGGCAGAAAGTTAGGGGAAAGAAAAGATTCCCATTACACTCTTATCCTGGCTCTATCTTTGGTTACTCACGGAAGGTCTCCACAGTCCTCAGGATGTAGAAGAAATCTTATTCTCCTGGGTGGTTCAAGTTGGATATCTCTGTTGAGAGACTGGGTCAAAGGCTGGTAATATATTGTCTTCTATCTCTTTCCTCTGAACTCTCCCAACCTCCACCTCTTTAATTGCACATCTTTCCTCCCACTCTTAGATCAGTCATTCCCCTCCAAGGGCTGAGAAACAGGAAAGAGGCAATAGGTAGACAGGAGGAAAACAACCACAGTTAGATTTTAGATTCTTTCAGTATTCTGATGGTAGGGGGTGTTAGCTTCTTTAAGGAGAAACCTCATTCACACCCCAGATGATAAAAAGTCCCACTGGAGTGAGCACTTTCAGCCCTTCCCCTTCCCCTTCTCCTCACCCCACCCCCTGCCATTTTTTATTTTCATATTTTATGAAACAGATGATGCTACTGGCCACTTGCTTGGAAGATCCTAGATATGAATCTGTTTACCAGCTGTTCACCAGTCCCATACCCTCTCCCAATATAGTGTTGTGTGGCTTTAGACAAACTTGTCTAAACTCTCTTTGTTTGGAGGAGTACCTGTTGTGTGCTACATATCTGAAATTTCCAAAAAATTTTCTAACCATGGTCTCTGAGAAAAAGTTGAAAAAGAGAAGAAAAGGAGCATCTGAAAAATCTTACAACATGCAGATGAGTCAGATGAATTAGAAAGATTGGGAAGAGAATGAGGAGGGGACAGGAGCGATGGAAGGATTGAGGGTAGGAATTCTCTTTTTCACTTTGGATTCCATTAGGCAATGCTTTCCAACCTACAACCACATCCCATCCCTCCCACTCCCTGCCCTAGGTCTTCCTATTGCTTCCTATTCTCCAACTACCTCTCTCATATCATAATTCATTCATTCAACAAAAGTTTCAGTGTTTAATAGATACAGAACAATGCACTTGGTGCTGATGAAGATGTAAAGATAAGTAAGAGCCCATTCTAGCAAGAGAAATAAGACACAAATTACTGTCATACAAAGTAGAACATGAGAAATGCATGAAAGGTACAAACAAAATGCTGTTAGACTTCTGAGAAGAAAAAGATTACTGTGTGACAGATAAATCATTTTGCCTCTTTAGACCTCAGTTTCCTCATTTGTAAAAAAAAAAGGATTCCAATTACATGATCTCTAAAGTCCTACTTATTCTATGAATCTATTATTTCTGAGTAGGGAATCAGAGAAAGCGTCATGGCATCATTTGAAGGATGATGAAATATCAGTAGGCAGAGATGGTGGAAGGAAGAGATTAGAAAGAGATAGAAGGTGAGGGAATTCTAGGTACAGAAAATAGAATCCCTGTTTTCTTTTCCCACTCTATTCTTTTTCCTAGGATTACTCTTCTTTCTATTTATTTCCTATTCTTCAAGATGCTGCATAGTAATTTGAAAAAAAGCAGACAGGCAGCTAGGTGGCACAATGGATAGAGCCCTGGAGTCAGGAAGACCTGAGTTCAAATGTGGCCCCAGACACGTGACACAGACTCTGGGCAAGTCACTTAAGCCCAATTGCCTCATATTAAAAAAAAAAAAAAGCAGAGGCTCAGGAGTCAGAGGACCATGGTTCAAATCCTACTTCTTATGCTTAGTACCCATGTAAACTTGAACAAATCATTTGATCTTATGAAGCCACAATTTCCTTATTTTTTAAATGAGGGGGTTGGACTACTAGACTGAGTCTCTTCTGGCTCTATAATTATGGTACATTCATTGGATTCATTTGAGCATTATGGTCTTTTCCCCCTTATATTCAATGATTTTCTTAGAGATCAAGGATATTTCTCTTCCTTCTCCCACTTCCCCCCTTTTTGTATTGGTTAATTTACATCTAGCTTAGAAATAAATATAGCAGGACTGCCAGCTCCTATGCTCTGGAAGGATGTAGAGAGTATGACCAAACTCAGCTTCCCTGAGAAACATTTACTGATATGAAGAAGAACACCATGTGAAACAAAAGAACCAAAGAGAAAGACCACAGCTTCTTCTACCCCACAAAGGACTATATAAGGAAATGGTACCTGAAGTCTGCTCCAGGGTTTGGGTTAAGGCTGTCTGACAGGTGTAAGGAAACTGGACTGAGGTCCACACAGGCAGGCTCTGGGGAGTACCTAGGAAATGGGCCTAAAGCCAGCTTGATCTTAGGTAGATCCTTCTCTATAGGCTTAACCTGAAATGATTACATAAGGAAGTGGACAGGGTCAATGTGATGAAGGTAAAGATGTTCCAAGAGAGCCAAAAGCTGTAGCTGCAGCACTGGGTTAGGGCTTGATCACAACTGATCTAGCTCCTGTTCTCAGGTCAGGACTTTGGCTCCAGGTTAGGGTTGTGAAAGAAGGCAGGGCCTGGACCTAAGCAGCCATCAGCCCAGGAACTACAATTGGGGAAGTAGGATCCAAACTCAGCCGTGCCATCTAGGGCTAAGGCAAGGCAGAGTCCTGACTGCAGTAGGGTCAGGATCTCCCATATAACATTGTTCTATTCCAGGACTACAATAGGAGATGGGACCTAGGCATACACACAAGAGTGTGGGAAGAGATACATTCTGGCCCTGGCATAAACTTATTATAGAACAACTGAAGCTGAAAACATGATCAAAAAGCAGAAAACTCCAACTACCATGATATACTGTGCATTATAAGAATACCAATATAAAATCTCAGAGGAAGGAAACAACTACAAAAAAATCAGGAGGATGACCTCAGCAAAAAAAGAATGAACTAAGTGAATATAAGTTCTTCTAGAATGAATAGAAGAAATGAAAAAAAGAGCTGAAACAAAAGATTCAAAATGCAATCCATAACCTTACCTATGTAGAGGATACCCTGAAAATAGAATGGAACAAAATGAACAAAATGATTCAATGAGGTAACAAGAAATATTAGAACAAAGCCAAAAGACTGAAGAATAAGAACTGAGATATCTACCATCAGGAATCAATACAGCACTCCATGGAACATAACCACATTTTAAGAAAATTTCAATGGAAATGCATGGTAGAAGGCTCTATCTTATTAATTAGATAGCTTAATGCTTTTCATGTTCAGATTTTTTTAGTTTGATCTATTCCAAAGTTAGAACGAAAGGAAGACATTCCCTGATCATTTCTCTAAGCCAGTGTTACAGAATGCATTTGCTGGTCACTTTAGGAACCTGAGTTTCATAGTGTCTGACCTTCCAACACCATCCCCTGCTCCCAATCAGTTCTGTCACCCAGACACAGATTATATCTTAAAAGTGGTTGGATAGTAAAGATAAGTGAGGTGCCAGCTAAGTGTATCATTAAGAGTTTGAGAATCCTTGGGCCATTCCTTTGTATGAAACCTTCTCCTTTCCCCTCTACTCCCTCCCTCCTCTCCTGACCCCTACCCCTGCCCCAGCCAACTTAGGAAAGTGGATACATTCCTTAGGATACACCCTGTTGCAAAGAGGAAGAAAGTACAAAGGAAAGAATGAGGGCTAGACTTCTGAAAGAGCTTTCCAGATAATCATAAAAACATAAAATCATAGAATTTTAAAGCTGAAAGGATCATGGAAGTCATCTTGTTTGTAGTGGATGGTTGGATTGTAGCATAGGCTACATGTCCAAAACACTCATTTTGGAGATGGTAAAATTAAGATGAAGTGATTTGCCCAAGGTCACATACCTAGTGAGTGACAGAACCAGGACTGGTGCCTAGGTCATCTCTGGTGTGTATGCTATCCTGTGTGAAGCCAAGAAGAGGAAAAGAATGATCTTTGGAGGGCTGTTCATGACATTCTACTATATGTACAGGGAGTTCTGCTGTTCCAAAAAAATAATGTGCTATGCAAAATTGCACAATAAAAAGCTTATGGGGAACATGAGGTTAGGGGTACAATGCTCAAAACTTTGTCAGTGACATAAAAAAGAGATAAGAACCTAATAAAAAGCAATAGCATAAGTTCATACATGTTAAATGGTTAAGAAATACATAAATACTACAATAAATAGTACCCAAGTTAGCACTAGCAAGTTAGACAGTTTGTAACTCTGGGCCTTGGGCAGGATGCCTTGGTGGAATGGGGTAGGGGTGGTCTGGATCAGTCCTTCTCTGCTCACACATAGCTCCTATTGTACCAGAAGACAGACAACAATAAATATAACGCTTCCCCTTGACAATGACCTGAAGTGTACTTGTGGAAGTGGGCATCAGAAGAGTTACAGTTGTGAGTTAATATAAAGTAGTGGTTTTCTGCATCCTTACCATTTCTTGATTGCACAGAAGCAAACACATTAATCATATTCAAACAAATTCACAATTTTGAAACATGCATTATAGCAGAACTGACTGTATGTGGGAAAATAAAGTTCAGGTTATGTTCTCGCTGAGGATCATTTACTCCAATCTTACTCCTCCTACCCTGACTCTAACCCTACATCCAATCTCCCTGTCCCATTCTTTCCATTCCTATTATCTGATAACAATTTACAGGAAAGTAGCTAGATCACTGAAATGGATGACATTGGTCTGGGGAAATATGAGAGGAGCTGAACCAAGAATCCAGGTATCTTGATTCCAGATTGATAATTCCCAGAGGACAATGGGTACATGCCTAAAAGCCTAACTAGACTGTTTTCCATTTGTCAAGATAGGAAAAGACACTGTAGCCTAATCTCTGGACATCACCAAGTAGTCTAGCACTCAGTAAATTGTTGCTTTGGAAGATGACATCATTCAGCACTCAAGTCTAGGAAGAGAAACTTAACTCATTTCAGGGGGCGGGGGGCGGGGGATGGTGGGGGGAGAAAGGAATTACTAGTAGCTAATGGTGGGGAGAAGATATGGCTATAGCCAGAGTTGTTTTGTTTTTTTTTTTTAAACTTGACTGCCACAGATGTATTAGTTGATCTTTAACCAAATCCATCTTCTCTCCAGGTTTCAGTTTCTCACCTGTTTCATGCAGAATGTCATGAATAGCTCCCCCAAGATCCATAAATGGCCAGTGAAGTCCCTTTCAACTCTGAAGTTCTGTACTTACTATTCATATTCTTGCTTTCAAACAAAATGGCCCTCAGATCATCCTTGACAGA